GCATCATCCTTCGGTGATCTCATTTTTGTTGATCATGAAGAAATCAAGTTCGGTACTAAAGCCTACTTGGCTTTGGTCATCATTGATGGTGCTTCAAATCTTCTGTGGGCTACGGCTCTTACAAGCCTGGAAGCGCCAGAGACTCTGGGAGCTTTTAGACAATGGACAGAGGAGAACAACTGCGTTCCTAAAGGAATCGTAGGAGATCAAGCATTTTTCACGCCGCAGTTCATGTCTTACTACAAGTTCCATGGCATTACTCCGTATCCATGTGGACCACGGACTCCTTGGCCTAATCGAGCTGAGACCGCAGTGCGTCTTTTCAAGCGCACCTGGGCAATCATGGCCAAGGCCTTAGCTGATGAGGGTTATGCAGAGAAGGTGACTGTTCGTCAAGCAGTCAAGAAGGTGGCTTGGGCAAGAAATTGCCAGCTTACCGTCTCAGGCTATTCTCCTTTGGAGATAGCTACAGGAAGACGGCCACCAGACTTGTTTGATGTCGAGAACAGTTCTCCTGAACAGCTCTCTGCTGAACCTGCCGAGGAGGATCGAACCACTCTGGAACTCCAGAGGATTGCCATGCGGGCTCATCAAGAGGCTAGACAATCACTTGACCTTCGGAAGGACCTTGCACGGAGAGTCATGCCGTCTGATGGTCCTTACTCGAAGGGTGACCGCGTGTTTGTTTGGCATAAGGATGAGTCGAAGAAGAAGTCTGAAGGAACCTGGGTCAGAGGCATAGTTGTGTCACAGGAAGGTGCCATGGTGTTGGTTGAAGTTCATCGTGCCGTTCTTCGGGTTAATCAGTCGAAGGTCAGGCGTGATGGAGATCCGTGGCATGATGTGGCCATTCCTCTGAAGAAAGATGAGGTCCCGAGACGCTCTTCTCAGGAAGAGGCACTCGACCGCATCGGCGACGATATTCTTGATCGTGCCGGTTCTGGGTTCTGCTATGAGCATGAGATCTGTTACCACACTCTCACTTCAGGCAAGAGCGATTTCGTTGAGATCACACCTCGCCTCACCGGGCTTACTGCGTGCACAGTCCATTCTGGACTTGATGCGAGTGAACCTGTGTTGTTTGGTGAATGGAGCGCCAAGTCTATCCAATCTTCGATTGAGGCCGCTTGGCGAGTGATCTTGAAGGCAGAGCCTAATCACATTTTTATTCATCCTGTCATCCCTGATGGTTGGACCAGGAAGGCCACCAATGCCTTCTGGCACTTTTGTGCCGAAGTCTGCCGTTGGCAAGATGACAAGGGTGATGGATACTTCGTGACCATCATGTATCCTTCTCATTGTGGGTTTTGGCTTTCGCAGAGTAGTCGCTCGCTGAAGTGGAGGAGAGGACTTTCATTCCACACCTTCAAGAACCGTGGTGTACTTCCTTCAGGGGGAGATGACCACGGTAAGCGTCAGCATGGTGAGCTTTCTTTTCTCACTAATCTGCCTGATGGATCATTTGGCCGTTTGGAGTCGTTGGAAGAAGGCTATGACTCTGCTAACGCACTTGATCCAAGGTTTGCTGTGCTGCTTTCGCAGTGTCTTGTGGGTGATGAACGATCAGATCTCCGACAATGTTACTTGTTCGAAGATATCTTTGAGGATTTTGATGATGGAACACTGTGTGCGTTGTGTTTGCGATCAGACCGCAATTCAGAGGCTTTACCGGTTCTTCCGTCAGAAGCAGAGTACTCATTACTCTCAAACAATGACAAAGGGAAGCTTCCGACACCTCTGAGGTTTGTTGCGCCGCAGCGGTTTGTTACATCGTCTTTGGTCCAGACTCTGTCATATGTTGACAGTCTCCTTCCAGGTACTGAGTTGGAAGTTCACACGACCACATCGTCTGACGCGGTCGCCTTGCGGCCAATGATTAAGAATGTGCGCGTGCTAACTCTGCCGTATCTGGAGTTTGAGTACTGTAACGTCTACAGGGGGACTCAAGGGAAAACACTCCCTTTGGTTCATCGTCATCCTGATGCTGTTGTCATTTTGTGGCAGAAGGGTGATATGAATCATGTGTTTTTCGTGACGATGGCACAGTTGCTTCCTTGCCTTAAGGATATGCAATCAACGCACTGGTCCATGATAGTGTTCTGGAATGAGTCACAGAACAACAATTCCAGACGCGGGCCTGATGTTGGCTTGGACTTCACGGACCAGCCAGCGCCGGCCCCGGTTGCACCGCAACCGCCAGCCACAGACGACGATGTGGACTATCCAGGATATGATGATCCACATGGTGATATGCCTGTGGACGATGAGGAAATGCCACTACAGCATCCAGACCAGGATTTAGATGATAATCCTGTTGAGTTGCATGTCGGTGGTGACCCTCCGTCACAACCTCCTGGAGGCGGTACTCATGTACCGGTACCAGGGGGAGATGATGATTCCGACCTGGATCACGATCCGGACGGTAATGGACATCCGCCAGGAGGCGGTCCTCAGGGACCGGGACCTGGTTATGGTCCGTCACCGGAAGAGCCTCCTCTTCCGATGGAGTTTCATGAGGAGTCGCCTCCTCCGGGAGGTCCTCCCGATTCTCCTGGGGCTCCGCCTCAGTTTGCGAACCCGGATCAGGTTCTTAGTCCGTGGCCGGCACCACCTTCACCTATTGTTCCTGTTCCAATTCCGCCGCATCCTCACTTTCCGGTGCCACAGAGTATGCGACCGCCGTCGCCTCGCAATGTGTCTCAGACACGTGCCAGAGGCACACATCCTGAAGATGTGTCTAAGGCCAAGTCACGTACTGTTGTGGGACCTCCGGTTGTGTTGTTGCCTGGGCAGTCTGCGGGAAAGAAGGATCCCGATCCGTCGGGTGACTTTCCAGGTTTTCACGAGCCTGCTTCCTCTTCTTCTGATCCGGCTCCTGTTCCTGGTTTGCCGGTGACTGAGGGGGAATTTCCTATCCAGCAAACCCCACTCCCGGAACCCACCCCGGAACCGCCGGTGCCGGAAGCTGGTGAGGATACTGATTCGGATGCCACGGTTGACTATCGTGATGAAAGCTTGCTTGCTTTGGCTGTTGGAGACGACGACGTTTTGATTCGCCTTCCGTCGGACTTCAAGGTTCCGTCCTTTGTTCCGTTGGATGGTGATGGTTTTGCGTCGTGGTTGACTAAACAAGATAAAATCAAGGCAGGTACCCTCACGCCGGAGATGCAGCGCAAGTATGCCGCCGAAATTCGGAAGGCTAAACTTGAGGAGTTCAAGAGTTACTTGGACAATGATGCAATTCGGCTGACGGACCGTCGCAAGCTTAAAAACGATGTCAATTTTCTTACCGGACGTTGGGTCCTTACTGTGAAGGTTGACAAGAACGGTTACTTTTCCAAGTTCAAAGCCCGATGGGTTTGTCGTGGGTTTCAGGACAAGTTTGCCTGGGATCAACAAACGGACAGCCCTACGGCTACTCGGTATGGTTTCCGTTTGGTTGCGCAGTGCGCTGCCAATCACTATTGGGATCTTTTTCATTTGGATCTTAAGACCGCTTTCCTTCAGGGGGAACACTACAATCTGTCATCTCGCATGGTTGTGGTTCAGTTGCCTCCTGACATCGGTTTGCCTACCTGGATGGTTGGCCTTTGTCTCAGACCAGTCTATGGTCTGAACGATGCACCGAGAAGATGGTGGAATCGTTTGGACAAATTCCTCAGGTCTGTAGGCATGGAACCGACCAGAGCTGACCGATGCACTTATGTCGCATACGACGGCATAGAAGGCAAGAAGGGCAAGAGCCACCTTGCGGCAGGAAGCTCCTCTCAGGAGGAGGAACCTGAAGCAGGAAGCACCTCTCTTGAGGTGGAACCTGCCTACCTCAAGGAGGTTGCCCTTCATGCCATGACATGCTACGCATACGATGAAGGAAACCGTTCTTCCTCCGACCGTGCGGAGGAGAGATCCTATCTTTCATGTCCCGATATCGCTCAGTGCTTTAACACCGATACCAAGAAGATGGTTGACTATGCTTGGAGGCCTGTGACTGATGATAAGCTTCTCGGATTCTTGGGCAGTGTTGCTTGTAAGAAAAGAGGTTGGTTCCCTTATGAGAACGGGCATGCTCTCGTTTCTCACAGGGCCAAGGCTCTTCGTACTCCTGCACCTGTCTATCAGGTCAAGGACTACCCTTATCGAGTTTCCATGATCCTCCGTAAAGGAACATGGTGGATTGTCGAAAGGGCCCATGACCTGAGGTTGGACAAGGGCGATAAGACCTGCTTCCTTGAAGAAGAAGCTGAGGTCCTAGTCTCCTTGTTCCTTCCTGAGAAGGCTTCATACAAGGTCGAGAGCTTATCAGAGCTCTCCCCCGAGTTGGTTGATCAGCTTCTTGAACACTTTGTTGACCCTGTGCATGGAAGTCCCAGCAAAGGTCGCAGGACAGTTGGAGTGATGAGTCTTCATGTTGATGATCTCATCATAAGTGGAACCCCTGAGTTCCTCACTTGGTTCCTAAAGAAGATCAAGGAACACTTCACTGTCGGCCATGAGGACAAGAATGACCTTACGTTCACGGGACAGCGTGTTCGTTGGGTTCTTGATGCACAAGGGAAGAAGAAGTATATCTCGATCGATCAAAAGCTGTGTGTTTCTAACAAACATTTCGCTTAGGAGTGTGTTGCCCTATAATCCTGTAGATGAGCTGTTTGCCACATGATTTTGTATAGTATGGAACAAATGTTCCACTGTGGTGTTTAGGCTCAAGGGACGCACCCAAGACAGCCGTGCGCCCGAGGAAAAGTGAAGTGCGAATATCTGTGTGAAGTGAAAGGGTCCGGAACGTACCCGTAAAGCGTTTTATGGTAGCGGAGCTGAAGGCCAGGACCTTCGGCTGAAGAAGAGCCCAATACAAGGAGAAACGAGCCTTGGGCCCCAGTGTCACGGAAAGTGAAAGAAAGGAAAGTTGAATGGCCACACCAAGTCCAGCTGGAGACGCGGATTTGCCTGTGTCCCCTGGTCACGGTGGTCAAGGAGGAGATACACCAAGTGATACGCCAATGGCGATGCCTGCACCAGATGGAGTTGCAGGAGGATCCCTTCAGGCCCTGATAGGGAACCTGTCGGCAGCAGCGCAAGCTTTGGCAAGTGCTGCAGGTACAGGAAGTACCAGAAGTTACGACTCTGCAGCTAAGCTGGTGAAGAGTCCGGATGTGTTCGCTCCAAAGAATTTGGAGGAGGAAGTTTCACAGTGGCCAGATTGGAGTTTCAGTTTCAAAGTGTTTGTGGGCTTCATTGATCCCACTTATGCAGAAGAGTTGAAGAAAGTGGAGCTGGCACCACCAAATCCAGCAGATTATACAGTTGGTGAAAGAGAGCGAAGTACAAAGCTGTATGCGATTTTGGCCTCGTATCTTAGGAACAGGCCATTGAAGTTATTGAAGTCAGAAGGAAGTCCAGATGGATATTCTGTCTGGAGGAGACTGTTTGAAGAGTTGGAGCCGTCAAGCCGAACAAGAGGGCTGGCAATGGCTCAAGCTCTAGTGAGCTTTCCCCAGATGACGAAGGGGACTTCTATCTTAGACTATCTGCTTACCTACGAAAAACTGGTGGCAGAATACGAAAAACTGTCCGAAGGAAAACCCTACGATGAGAATTTGAAAATCGGAACAGTACTCAAAGGTTTGCCAAATGAGTTGAGGAAGCATATCCTGATAGGATTGACCCCTACGACGAAGTACGCAGACATCAGGAAGAAGTTGCTTGAGTATGAAAGAAGTACCCAATCGTGGAATGCGGAGAACATTTTGCAGTCTTTCAACATGGAAAGCGCAACGAAGAGTACACCCTACAATGGGCCACAACCAATGGATATTGATCGAGTGAAAGGAAAAGGAAAAGACAAAGGAAAAGGAAAAGGTCACGACAACAAAGGAAAAGGAGGAAAAGGATACAACAACAAAGGAAAAGGAAAAGGAAAAGGATACGACAACAAAGGAAAAGGAAAAGGAAAAGGATACGACAACAAAGGAAAAGGAAAAGGTACGACAACAAAGGAAAAGGAAAAGGTGGTTATAGAAATGCACGAGCAGTGGACGCTGGTGGCTACGGGAAAGGAAAGTTCATAGGAGAGTGCCACATATGCGGAAAGACAGGACACAAAGCAGCTGATTGCTGGCAGAATCAAGGAAAAGGAAAAGGAGGTAAAGGCAAAGTGAGACAGGTAGAAGAGGAAGGAACCCATCAAGGAGATCACGAGAAGAGTTCCTCTAGCAATGCCCCTCCTACGAAGAATGAGACTGGTCAAGTGAGGCAGATCACAGCTGAAGCAGCGCGCCAAGCAAGAAGAGTAGAGATGACACAAGAGTGGAACGATGAGGATGAAGAGCTCAACTTTGTGAGATTGTGTCAGGAGTTTGAAGGTTTGGTTCAAGGAGAGCTGAGAAGAGTTGAGGAGTTTGATATCTCTTCGAGCGATGAAGTGGAAGAGATCGAGGAAGAACCTACTGATGGTTTGATGGAGTGGTACCAAGGATGGTGGTTCTTGGAAACAGAAGTTGAAAGAAGTGTGAGAATGGTTTCTGAAGGAGATGATGTGAGAAGAACAGCAAGAGAAGTGGATGCATGTGAGGTAGTGCTCGACAGTGGAGCTGACTGCCATGTGTTGCCTATGGATTGGGCAGAAGAAGTCGGAGAAACTTCGAACTTTGAGTATCATCTGAAAGATGCGCAAGGGAAAGTGATCCCAACGTTGCCTGTGAGGCAGAATGTGACGTTTGTTTTCACGAAGGAGTCTGGAAAGAAGTTGAAGATCACTGACAGTGCTGTTTGCGGCAATGTCACCCAACCTTTGTTTGCGGTAGGAAAGATGTGGAAGCTAGGTTGGGGTACGGTGAATGAAGATGGAAGATTGTGGTTGAAGAAAGGAAGTGTTCGGATACCGATATACTTCAAAAGGAATTCCTCAATGGCGAGGATGTGTATACGGAGACTTGAAGGAGAAGAGATGACGGTACAGCCTGTGAGGCTGGAGCGAGAACTGAAGAATGAGTTGAAGAGCAAAGAAGATGAAGATGGTTGGTTTGTGCTAAATGACGGCACGCCTGCAAGGTTTGATTGGTTTATGGGGAAGACGTTTGACCCAACGGGTCAGTTCCCTAATAGACTCTATGAGGGAGCAGGAGATGAAGGCGATTATTTTCCTTATAGGACAACCTTGCTAGGAAAGATGAAAAGAAGTGGAGAAAGAGTGTTGAATGAAGTGGATTGGAAGAGTATGGATTTCTTTGAGTGTACGGAGATCTGGAAGGATCGCGAAAGAGTGCAACTTGGGGCAAGTCCTCAAGCAAGGTTTGAGGTGATGGTCACCTTGTTGGAAAAAGGATTGAAGGAACCGAGCGACTATGGGTTGCTCACGAATTTGGAAGAGCTTGAAAGAGAACTGGCACAAGAAGGAGTGCCAATGGAGGTCACAGGAACCTCCTCAAGTTCAAAAGACAAAAAGGAAAGTGAGAAAGAGGAACCGAAGAGAGGAGTTCCAGTGATTGGTGAAGATGAGGAAGAAGTGATGGTGATTGGACCAATGAAGTTGACACGCCAGAGTGAGTTGAAGGAGATGAAAGCGGCGTGCAAGTATCTGCATATCTCGAAGAATGGATCGAAAGAGATTTTGTGGAAAAGATTGAAGAAAGAGGTTGCGCTGAGCAAAGTGAAAGCGCAAGCCCAAATCTCTGAGGATATCAGAAAGGAGTTTGAGAGAGAACCAATTCCAGAGGCTCTGCCTGCTTTGCCGAGCCCGGAAGAGATTGAAGCGCATGAGTTGACGCATTTGCCGAGAGCGCCCTGGTGTGAAGCATGCCAGGCAGCAAAGAGCAGAGAAGACAACTTTGAAGAGACGAAAGAGAAAGCGCAACGGCCCGTGTTTAGCTTGGACTTTATGTTCACAGGAACACAAGGAGATGAAAAGGAGAGAGATCCGCTTGCTATTCAGCTTGCGGGTGTTGACAACGACACGAAGTTCCTGATAGCTATTGCGGTGCCAACGAAAGGAGGAGATGCGGTGATAAACCACGCAGTGAGTGAAGTGGTAAGAGTGTTAGCCCTTTTGGGTTACGCTGAAGTGGTGATTAGAACGGATACCGAGCCAGTGATGATTGCCATCAGGAGAGGAGTTCAAGTGGCAAGAACAAGACAAGGTTTGAAGACGGAGTTGCAAGATGCCACGCCTGATGAGCATCAAGGGTTGCCTGTGGAAAGGTATATCCAAACTGTGAGGAACCTTGCAAAGACGTTGTTGGCGACGGTTGAGCAACGAAGTGGAACGGCCATCGGATCTGATGTCCCGCTTTATAGCTGGGCGTACAGACATGCAGCATGGCTGCACAACAGGTTTCATGTTGGAAGAGATGGCAGAACTGCGTTTGAAGCGACAGTGGACCGAACGTACAAAGGGAAGCTGGCCCCGTTCGGGTCAGCAGTGTTTGGAAAAGCAGTGCCAAAGACCAAGGAGAAAGGAGAACCTTGGGAGAAAGGAGTCTTTCTTGGAAAGGACTACGCGAGCAATCTGAACTTGATTGGCACAGGTAGAGGAGTGATCAAAGCGAGGACAATGAGAAGATGTGCTGAGGCATATCAGCCGGAGCTTTTGCAACTTTCGGTTGGAGCTCCATGGGATCATCAGCTGAAGGCTTTGAGGTTTAAGAAGAAGAGAATTGTGCCTATTGATGATGGGCCAGGACTGCCAAGATTGGCGGTGGAAGCTGACAAAAGAGTGAAGAAGAAAAGAGAAGCGAGCCTTCGCCGCCGAGCGACCGCCAAGGAAGCTCAAGTTCTTCTAGCAAGAGTTCGTCGCTATCTGGAGCAACGCCAGAAGCAATGGACGACGAGAGCGATGACGATGACGATGATCCAGGAGAGGTGAGAACAAAGAGAAAAGCAGAAGATGAATTGGTGCCCGATGAAATGACGTTGGAAGAGTTTCAAAGAGAAGTTGCAAAGAGGAATGCAGAAGAAGAAGGAGAAGGTTCACCAAAGAAAGAACCAAGAGTAGACGAAGGAACTGGAGAGGTAGAAGAAAGAGTTGAAAAGGTGCCGAGACTTGGAGACGAAGCACGAGGAAGCGCGGCACGAGTGGAATACCACATTCGGAGATTCGCCAAGAGCGAAGATCCCGAAGAGCATGGAGATGAGTATGTTGATCTCGACGAGACACAGTTGTTTCTGGAAGAAAGTCGAGAGTTCCAGAGCAAGTGGAACGAGAAGGTGTGTGAGACAGAAGAGGACCTAACGGTTACTTGGTCTCACGAGTATGATGATGGGCCACCAAAGTTGGAAGATGAAGATTTGGAAAAGGTGGACCTGAAAGCAGAGAGAACAGAAATCGAGAGACTATTGGAGATGAAAGTTCTCAAAGAAGTGGAACTGGATGAGAATGGAGAGTTGAAGAAAGGACCGAATGGAGAAGAACCAAAGAGACTCAGTACAAAGTACGTGTTGGATTGGAGGCATAGGGACCTCCAATGGAAGAGGAGAGCCCGCCTAGTGGCGCGGGAGTACAAGTGGCTGACGGACTACGATCTCTCAGCGCTATACTCACCAACGAGTATTGGTTCGAGCATCAAGCTGTTATCAGCTTTGTGTGCGAGTTCAAGAGACTACGAGATGATCTCGATAGACATTTCGGACGCGTACCTTCAGGTGCCACAGAAGGAGTACACGGTTGTGAGTTTAGGAGGAAAGTGGTACCAGCTGCAGTACACCCTGCCGGGACAACGAACAGGAAGCAGTGATTGGTTTGAGCACTTACGAGAAATCCTGGAGAAAGAGAAGATGGTTTCCGATGTGGGGTTACCAAGTTTCTTCTACAAGTTTTCAGAGACCCCAGGAGAAGGTGGAACGCTGATGAGTACACATGTGGATGATTTGGAGGTGTTTGGAAAGCCAAAGGAGAATCAAGCAGTGGTTGATCTGCTGCTGAAGCACAAGTTGAAGATAAAGCTGGAAGGACCAGTGAAGGTTGGAGAAGGGAAGTGTACTTTCTTGAAGAGGACGTTCTTAGGAACGAAAGAAGGAATTGAGATCAGGATGGACGGCAAGTATCTTGAGAAGTTGGAAGAGATCTTAGGTTTGGGAAAAGCCCTGCCGAAGAAGTTGCCGTTTCCAATGGATTACGGAAGATCGTTGAAGGACGATACGCCCTTGGATGCAGATGAACATCATCTGTATAGATCCTGTGTAGGAATCCTATTGTATATGACACCGGAGAGACCTGATTTGGGATTCGCTACGAAGTGGTTGTCTGGGAAGTTGGCAGCGCCAACGCGAGGAGACTTAGCAGTGCTTAGGCACGTGGCAAAGTATGTAAAAGCGACAGCCCACTACGTGATAGAACACAAAGAGGCATATCCTGGAAAGAGTTTTCTAGATCCAAGTGATAAGAGAACTGAGAATGCCTACAAAGATGTTTTTACGGCAAAGAGTTTGATCGAGGTAGTGACCGACGCCGACTGGGCGACCGATCGTGAGAATAGGCAGTCAACGAGCTGCGTGTTGATTTTCGTGAACAGTAACATCGTTTACTTTCACGCGAGAAAGCAAAAAGCGACGGCTTTGAGCAGCTGCGAAAGCGAACTGGTGGCAGCTGTTGGAGGTTTGAGTGAAGGAGTTTTTCTACAGAACCTGCTGCACAGAGTTCTAGGGATTAGGCCGGAGATGGTGATTAGGATGGATTCTAGCAGTGCTAGGTCTATTCTCATGAAGAAAGGCCTAGGAAGAACAAGGCACATTGATGCAGGACTGCTTTGGGTTCAAAGGCTTACTTCGGTAGGTCTTCAAGTGAAAGCGATATCTGGGAAGGAGAACCCTGCAGATGTAGGAACAAAGGCTTTGTCGAGGAACGCTGTTGTGAAGTGTTTGGAGAGAATCGGTGTGAAAACTGGAGAAGAGAGTGAAGAGGTCAGGATAGCAAGTGACTTCAAGATCCCTACGAAGTATCTGAGAAGACTTGTGATGATGATGATGGTCCAGCAGTGTGATGGACTAAGAGAGCAAAGCAGTAGAAGCAGTGAAGGTGGAAACCTTGGTTTGGTGATGATGGTGATGATGATGACACTGGTTGTTATCATGGCTTGTAACGGTAGCTTGTGGAAGAGTCTGGTTGGAAGTGTTGAATACATGTTTTATTCCGCCGCTGCCGTTTTTGACTCAAGGAAGGAAGTGAAAAGAGAGAAAGTGAAAAGAAAAGAAGTGAGGAGAAAAGAAATAGAAGAAAAAGAAGAAGTGAAAAAGATGGCCGACGACGCGGCCCTCAAGACAATGATCAGTGACGAATGCCGCAGCATAGAGTCCGTAACCCTATGCGAAAGAGAGCTCAAAAAGGAGCGAGAGAGGAGATTAACCCTGGATGCCCTATGGCCCGAAGTGCAACGCCTCAACCAAAAGTATGAGCCTAAAGAGGCGGCCCCGTCAGAAGCTGCAAAGACGGAGGTTAAAGTGCCTGAAGAGTTCAAGAAAACAGCCGAGGAATTGGCTGGAGAGGCACAGGGAAGCAAAGGAAGTGCCGAAGGAAGCCAGGCACAGGTTATGGAAGATAGAGTGAGCGAGCTGAGGCAGAAGGCCTTGGATGCTTCCGAGAGGCGAAGGGGCCAGAAGGAAAGGGCAAATGAAGCCGCAGAGAAGGCGAAGGAAACAAAAGAAGAAGAAGAGAAAAAGAAAGAGAAAGAAGAGGAGGAGCAAGAAGCCTCCGAAAGCGAGGAGAAAGTGAGTTCGGAGAAAGAGGAGGAAGAGCAAAGCTCCGAAAAAGAGGAAGAGAAAAAGAAAGGAGAAAAGAGAAAGAAAGAGTCTGAGTCCAGTGATGATGAATACAAGGAGATCATGGACAAAATGGCAAAGAAGTCAGTTCTGGAGGAGGAGAAGAAAGTGCAGGACCTGCTTGGGCAGATGCGAGTTCTGCAGGAGAAAGTGGACGAAAAGCGAAAGAAATTCACGATTTATTCGGACTTGTATACTTACAAGCAAAAACAGAAGAAGATCAAAGAGGAAGAAAGAGATAAATTGATCGCAAAAGAGATAGAGGTGAAGGAAGAGCTGAAGCGGGTAGCGGACGAAGCGTTCGTTGCCAAAGAGTCCATAGAGAAACAACTGGACAAGCTGAGAGCCGAAGAGGAGGAACAGGAAAATGAGGCTACATTGATAATGGACGCAGAGTCCGCCCTGCAGAAAGAGATGGACCAATTGAGGCCGAAACTTCAGACTGCACTGGAGGAGTTGAAGGCAAAAAGGAAGGAACTGCAGGTTCCAGCGGGTGGACTGCTTCAGGGCGAAGCTGAGCAAAAGCTGAAAGAGATGGAGAGCAAGAGGATCAAAGAGATTAAAGAGCTCCAAGAAACGAAAGAAAAGGAGATCAAAGAGGAGATTGACAAAAAGGATAAAGAGATCAAGGAGCTAAAAGAGGCAAAGGACAAAGAGATTGGAGAATTGAATGAAGAAGTGAGAAAGCTGAAAAAGCGCAAAAGCAGTGCTGGGTCGACGCAAGGCCCATCGAATGAGGATGCAGAGAAGATGAAAGAGGAGCGCAAGAAAATGCGCGAGACTATCAAGGAGCTTGGAAAGAACAACAAGGCCCTCGAAGATGAGCTCCAGGTGTTTAAAGAGGAAAGCCGGATCAACGAAGATCCTGATGCGCAAAGCCAGCCAATGGTTTGCGCGGTATGTTCGCGTTTCGGACATGGTTCCGAAACGTGTTGGGATGCCGATTACAATTATACTGCCTCAGGGCAGTATGCCCCAAAGATGCAAAGGGAAGAAATGAGTAAGGAACAGTTCCAATCCTGGTACAAGAAGAACGAATTGATAATTCGAAGAGCATACGCGAACAGGTTGGAGACAAACAAGAAAAAGTACCGCACAGACAACGCGGAGAAGGGCAAAGGAAAGAAAGCCCAGCAAAAGAGCGGCTAAAGGAGAAAAGGAAAAGAGAAGAAAGAAAGACCAAACCGGAGGTCTATAAAGAAAAAGGGAATCTGAAGGCTGAAAAGCCAGAGGGGGAACTTCGTTCCCAAATGAGGAAAGAGTTTTCTGAAAGTTGTACGACAACTGCACCACGAGAAGCCGAAGAGTTTCTTCACGAGGAGAGAGTTTAAAGAGTTTGAAGAGTTTGTGGCTTTTGGGCCACCACGAGTTCTTTTGAGGCTGAAAGGCCAAAGAAGTGAACGAGTTTGAGAGCGGCCAGTAGGAGTAGCTCTGTTTCACTCGTCTCACACCACGACAAAAAGCGAGTGCACAACGAGTGTTTCAAAAGGAGGAAAGTGCGACTGTTTTGGGTTCGTTGCACCTCTAGGAAAGAAATGGCAAAAGAGGATGCACGAAGAGGGGGTAACAAACATTTCGCTTAGGAGTGTGTTGCCCTATAATCCTGTAGATGAGCTGTTTGCCACATGATTTTGTATAGTATGGAACAAATGTTCCACTGTGGTGTTTAGGCTCAAGGGACGCACCCAAGACAGCCGTGCGCCCGAGGAAAAGTGAAGTGCGAATATCTGTGTGAAGTGAAAGGGTCCGGAACGTACCCGTAAAGCGTTTTAGTTTCAGAGCTTGAGGAGATTGTCATACCAAAGCATCTTAAGGATGCAGATGCGTGTGATAAATCTCTTCACACTTCCTATCGCTCTTTGCTTGGTAGCATCAACTGGCTTCAGTCGAGGACGCAATTTCAGGCATGTTACCAGTTCTCTCGTCTGGCATCAGCATCCGCTGCTCCGACTATTGGTCACTGCAAGGAGTTGAACAAGTTGTGTCGACAGATACGCAGTGAGGAAGTTGAGTTGCGGGTGTGGCCAGTGAAGGGATCACCGAGGATTCTTGGAATTCCTGACGCAGCTTTCCGTAACAACAGCGACAAGTCCTCACAGAGGGCGATGACTATCTTCATCGCAGATGAAAGGGTCAAGAATCGAAGAGACACCCGAGGCTCATTGGTCTTCTTCGAATCAACCAAGATTAAGAGAACGACCCTCAGTACCACTGTCGCTGAGCTTTACGCCTTGATGAAGTGTTTTGGTACCTGTCAAATGCTTCGTGGTTTGTGGAAGGACATTAGTGGTTTGGATGCCGAGATTCACATTCGCACCGATGCTAACAATCTCGTGTCTACCGCTTCTACTACTCACTCACCCGAACAACAGGAAACCATTCACATGATTCAAATGCTGAGAAAGGAAGCGTGTTCAGGTGCTATTGCTGATCTTTCTCACGTTCGAACCGAACACTGTCTTTCTGACTGTCTCACGAAA